TTCTCATTGTTCAACTCCCACTTATGAGGGAGAACATGCGGTGTTTGGTTTACTGTTCCTGTGTTAGTTTGCTAAGGATGATGGCTTCCAGCTTCACCCATGTCTCTGCAAAGGATGTGATCTCATTTTTTTATGGCTGCACAGTATTCCATCATATATATCTACCACATTTTCTTTATCCAGTCTATCACTGATGAGCATTTGGGTTGGCTCCATGCCTTTGCTATTGTAAATGGTGCTACCATAAACATATGTGTTCATGTGCCTTTATAGTAGAATGATTTATATAGCTTTGGGTATATACCAGTAATGGGATTGCTGGGTCAAATGATATTTCTGGTTCTAGATCCTTGAGGAATTGCCACACTGTCTTCCACAATGGTTGAACTAATTTACAATCCCACCAACAGTGTAAAAGTGTTCCTGTTTCTCCACAGCCTCTCCATCATCTATTGTTTCCTGACATTTTAATAGTTGCCATTCTGACTGGCATGAGATGATATCTTATAGAGATGATTTGCATTTCTCTAATGATCAGTGATGTTTAGCTTTTTCTCATATGTTTGTTGGCCGCATAAATGTCTTCTTTTGAGAAGTGTCTGTTCATATCCTTTGCCCACTTTTTAATGGGGTTGGCAGTTTTTCTCTTGTAATTTTGTTTAAGTTCCTTGTAGATTCTGGATATTAAACCTTGGTCAGATGGATAAATTGCAAAAATTTCCTCCCATTCTGTAGGTTGCCTATTCACTCTGATGCCAGTTTCTTTTGCTGTCCAGAAGCTCTTTAGTTTAATTAGATCCCATTTGTCAATTCTGACTTTTGTTGCAATTGCTTTTGGTGTTTTAGTCATAAAGTCTTTGCCCATGCCTATGTCCTGAATGGTATTGCCTAGGTTTTCTTCTAGGGTTTTTATAGTTTTGGGTTTTACATTTTTATATTTTATAGTTTTGGGTCTTTATTTTTTTTGGTGTATATGAATGCTTGTGATTTTTGCACATTGATTTTGGATCCTGAGACTTTGCTAAAGTTGCTTATCAGCTCAAGGAGCTTTTGGTCTGACACACTGAAGTGTTCTAAATATAGAATCATGTCATCTGCAAACAGAGACAATTTGACTTCCTGTCTTCTTATCTGAATATACTTTATTTCTTTCTCTTGTCTGATTGCCCTGGCCAGAACTTCTAATACTACATTGAATAGCAGTGGAGAGAGAGACCATCCTTGTCTTGTGTCAGTTTTCAAAGGGAATGCTTCCAGGTTTTGCCCATTCGGTATGATATTGGCTATGGGTTTGTCATAAATAGCCCTTATTTTGAGATATGTTCCATCAATACCTAGTTTATTGAGTGTTTTTAACATAAAAGGATGTTGAATTTTATTGAAGGCCTTTTCTGCATCGATTAGATAATCATGTGGTTTTTGAAGTTCTCATGCTGTGTTTTCCAGCTCCGTCAGGTCATTTATATTCCTCTCTAAACCGGTTATTCTAGTTAGCAGATCCTGGAACATTTTATCAAAGTTCTTAGCTTCTTTCCTTTGGGTTAGAACATGCACCTTTAGCTCAGAGGTGTTTGTTATTACCCACCTTCTGAAGCCTACTCCTGTCAATTCGTCAATCTCTTTCTTCATCCAGTTTTGTGCCCTAGCTGGAGAGGTGTTGAGACCATTTGGAGGAGAAGAGGCATTTTGGCATTTGGAATTTTCAGCTTTTTGCCCTGGTTTTTCCTCATCTTCATGGATTTATCTACCTTTGATCTTTGAGGCTGATGACCTTTGGATGGGGTATTTGTTGGTGGGGGTCTTTTTTGTTGATGTTGTTGTTGTCTTTGCTTTCCGTTTGTTTATTTTTCTTCTAACACTCAGGCTCCTCTTCTGCAGGTCTCCTGCAGTTTGCTGGAGATCCACTCCAAGCTCTGTTCACCTGGGTATCATCACCAGTGGAGGTTGCAGATCAGCAAAGATTGCTGCCTGCTCCTTCCTCTGGAAGCTTTGTCCCAGAGGGGCACTGGCCTGATGCCAGCCAGAGCTCTTTTTCTGGTGGAGCTCCTATGTGACATATGACTACGGAATAGTCATAAGTCACAGCAGTCCAGACAACTGCAAGGCTTCCCATGTGGAGGCTTGCTCCTGTAACCTGAGACAAGACTCAGTACGTCAACTTTCTCATAGTCGCTCTTAAAAGGAAGGGGTGGGAAAGTTTTAAAAGTCAATAAAACTCTGTAAAACAGCTACTGACGAAGTTTTCTTTATAAGCCTCTGAGTTTCAAAGGAGGTACCACTTTCAAAAGCCTTCTATGTGAAGGTATCTGAAAGTTCCAAGGCTGTTCACTCCATTTTTTGTGAACACTGGCAGCATGCAACCCTGACAGGGTGTCCAGCCTGGGCAGGGGCCAACTTGTTCTCAGATGCAGCAAGGTGTGGATATGGACACAGCCTGCTTTCAATGCGTGTGAAGCAGTCATAGTAAAAAGGCATCACTCTCTGCCCTTGAAACATATCTCAAGGTCTTCATACAGCTTCTTCTAACATTTTTAAAATGTGCTTCTAATAACTGTTGTGCCAATGCGTTAAACAGCCATTGGAGATAAAACCCTTTGGAAAATGTGCTCCGGGGTCAACTCCCCATGCTTGCTGTCACCTCCATCCCAGGTAAGCTTCTGGTTCCAAGTTTCTAGGATAAATGTGGCAAAGATGTAGAGGGTCTACATTAGCTAATGTTCTTACCCTTTTGTCACATTACAAAAGGGAGTTATTTCTATAGACCTTGGTTTTACCTGTTTGGGAAATGGGAATAATATGTACCTCATCTACTTCACAGAGATGTAGATGATTCAGCAAGGATAATGTGCAAGGAAGTGATTTGGAATATAAATATTTAAAGGTATTAACAGTGATAGTAATAACTAATGTAGCATCATTGCCCCTTTCTCTGAGGTAAGAATAAACTTGGGACTGTTGGCAATCATTTCTGAGAGGCCTCGGTTGCCTTTTAGAGGAGACAGAGATGAAGTGGATCATGTGCTCCCCACCAGGTTGGGTGCAGTGACTCACGCTTCCTCAGAGCTTCATGCACACCTCTACCAGGCTTCAACATATTGCCTTGCAACTATCTATTCGTGAATCTGTTCTTCGTGAAGACAGGGCCATGACTTGGTCTTATTCATTTTTGCAACCCCAATACAATGCTAGTACATAGGTACTTTATAGCATGTGTTAAATAAATGAACAAATGAATGAAAGTCTGTGAGTTCCACTTTATCAAGAAAGTTGGTGTAGAGGGCCCTTAGTGGTTCATAAAGTGGAGTGTGAAATTGTGAATAAGAGCTGGGCTTCGGAATCCGGCAGTTCTGGGTCTGAAAGTCTGCAACTTCTAGCTTTGTGACGTTGGGCATATCGTTTAACTCTTGAACAGCAGTTTGCTCATTGACAAAGCTGGAATAATAATACCTGCCTCAAATGCTAATTTATGATGATTACATGTAATCAGATATGCGAAGTCTCCAGCACTAAGTACTCAGTGAGTGCTAGGTAGCTAACATCATTATTTGTTCCTTAAAAATAAAGGAGAGGATATAATTAATTCTCTGTGAGAAGCTTAGAGGAAAGTGGATGGGGGAGGAGGGTAACCAAGGCTTTTTGGAGGAGGTGACAGGAGGTAACTAAAGAGAGGAGGCCAAGAGAAGCTGCCGCACACATCTTAATGATAGTAACGTGCACTGCCGCCTCCCCTCCGCCTCAGTGCACTTCAAAACTTTGGAGGTGAGGGGAGGCCAAGGTAGAGAGAGGAACAGTGTCCATCCCCAGCACCCAGCCTCTCCTGTCCACTCTGCTTCCATTCACCCTACCCTCCTGGGGCCTTCTGCAGCTGAAATCTCAGAGTGGGGCTCAGGAGAACCACTTCTTCCACGTGCTGCCTGCCTGAGCAAGCTCAGGGCAGATCAGCTCTTGCACTGTCCCCTGTAGTACTGACTTATTTGCTGGTCCCATTTCCTTCCTTTGTGTGCCCTTCCTGGAGATACTGGTAAGAGTCCTTCTCTCCTCTCTGGTTTGCTGCACCACTGCTGCGTGCCCCTCAGTGTGGGCCCAGCCTGACGTCCCCCTCAGCTACATTTCTTGCTGTGTGCTTCTTCATTCAGGGCTCACATTTGGTTCTGCCTGGTAGACTAAGGGCCCCAGCCTGGCAGATAAACCATCAGAAGCACTTGAAAACATCCCCAGAAACTGGTAGTTATGCTGGGGAATCAGAGAACGTATATCTTTTTAAATTCCCTTAGTTGGCCCTGATTCTATTCAGATTTGGAAACTGCTAGGCTGCATCTTTTCTTTACCTGAACGTTAAGCTAATTATGCACCAAACCTAATTCTGCCATCTTTCCTTTCAAATAATCAGCCAAGTCCCCTGGATTCCTGCTGTGGAGGAAGCAGAATGGAAAGCTTCTTATCCCACCACTCTTTGGGCAGGATTTCCCCCTCCCCTGTTCCCATTCTAAAGCCTGTTTTCACCTTCAATGGACACAACTGGGCTTTAGGACACAAGCAAATTACCCAATATCATTTAGAGAAACAAGGTTACTCAGACAGCACTGAGTCCATTTTGATCCAGGTCATTGCCAAAGAGATTGCACAGATAGGGGATAAGAAAAGCAAAGCTGAGGAGGGCCTTGGGGCCACATGCACATACCTGCTAGGGTCCTCACAGTACCCTGCTGAATGAGAATGAGAAGACTGCCAATCCCAACCTTGGATTTCTGGAGGTTCAGGCTGCTTTCCTAAACACTGTCTTCCTCCATGGAAGAGTGAAAGTTCTGTAGCCTGTTTATTCATTCACTTGTTTGTTCAACAAATATCGGTTGCCTCCTCCGTGCTGGGTGCCTTACCACTACTTTCCTCACACAGCTCCTAAAACCCCACTTGGCACAGTGTTGGTATTAAGTTGGTGCCTCCTGCAGCATATTAACCAAAATGAAGAATTTCCCATTCCTGGGGAAGTGAAAGGAATCGTAACTTTTTAAAAAAAGAGCTCATTTTTATATTCTATGTTATTTACTTAAGTGTTTTATAAAAATAAAATCCATTACACAAGTGTCTATATGCCTTGCCCAATATCTTTGCCAATGATAAATAATATCTAGCATATTTTTACTGCTTCATTGTTTCTAAATGCTCTCATATGGCTTACGTCATTTGATCCTAGACAGGCTGGTTTTATTATCCCCATTTATAGGAGAATATACTGAGGCTTAGATGGGTCAATGACTTGTCAAGGGTGTGTGGCTAGTAAATGCCATACAAATACATGCGAGAATAATGGCTATTTCAATTGTTTTGAAAGACTAGTTTTTGCAAAGTTGTTGGATAAGAACCAGCATGGAAGGGATTCCATTTCTCTTCAAGAGAAATTCCATATCTACTCCTGAAATACTTGGTGACCTTAGGATTTTGTCCATCCCGACTGAACAAGGGAACAGAGGTGGATAGTTGGAAAGATTATGAATCACTCTCTTGGCAAAATTCCCTGTTAGTCTGAATGTTTCATGACCCTCCCCTCCCAAGAGACTATTATTTAAAATTTAAATAGTATTGTTCTTGGCACCCTAATGGCCCTCTGAGTCAGCTGGACCTCAACAGGGTAATAGCAGAGGAAGGTTACAGGCAGGGAAGCAGCTGAGAACAAGGGAAGTAGCCTCTTTCCTGCAGCAACACAACAGCACTTTGATGGGCTCAGCTTGGGAGGACTAGGTCAAAAGATGAACTATGACCAGAAGGAAGAAAACAAACAGACACACTTTGGGAGGGTCTCAGAATAGGCACTGTACATGCATTCCTGATGCGTGTGAATAAATGGGCGGGGTGCCAGAACTGGACACGAGACAACAAAGGACAAGCTCATCTGACAGGGCAATTGTCTAGCAGAAGGCTGTTAACCTGTTCCAGCCCTAATATGAACCAAATCCTCATTCTCCTGGGCTTCAGTCTCAACTCTGCCACCTAATCAGGTGAACCAGGAAGGAAGTCATTTTTCCCTGAAGAACGTGGACCACTGTGGTGCACAGGAGATCACAGCGATCAGTCACCCTCTCTGTCTTGACACCAAGAAGCAGGAGTTCCAAAATCCAGAGGCCATTTTGGACTGAGTTTATAACAACTGTTTACACTTCACTGCTTTGTTAGGGTCTACAAAGCAGTTTTATTTGCTATGATAGTAGTTCTGAAACTTTGCTACTCATTAGAACCACTGCCCTATGTGGTAGCTGTGAAAGTATCATTCCCATTTTGCAGATAGGAAAGTTGAGGCTAAGAGAATTCGATGATTTGCCTAAAATCATGGCCCTAGCAAGTTCCAGAAATGAGACTTGAATTTGGAGTTCTATTTCACCTTGTTGGCTCATTAATTCATTCATATTAAATGAAATATTCATTTAACAAGTATGTTTTGAGTAGCAGGTATGTACTAGGCATTAGATATACATTAAGAGACTAAATATATGTAGCCCCTGACTTCACTGAGTTTCGGTCTAATGATCTTTCCATTTGAACCAGTATTCTTTATACTCCTTCATATTTCAGAATTAATTTCAAATTATGTAGGCTGGGTTAGTGCCCAGCAGGCCCAATGCTCAGCAGAATAGCACAAGTGGTACATTTACTAGAGTTCAGGTGTGCAGGTCCAAACTGCAGTGGGCCACAGAGAAGGGAGATCAGGCCTTGAAGGTGGTGTTCCTGGCTTCAAATAGTGTCTCTGCTCCAACTGGCCATGTGATCACGAGGAACTTTCTAAAGTTCTCTCTCTGTTCTCAGTGTCCTCAGTGAGGGACTGAAGATTGTAATAGCCAAGCTCCCTGAGTATCATGTGTCTGGCTACTGGCTGGCACATCTGAGGCACTCACTAAACACAGCTGTGACCAGGTCATTACTAGATGCTGAGTACTGTGGAGAACAACCGATTCATGAACCTGGTGTTTCTGAGAGGCACAGCAGCCTAGGGATGTCCTTAGAATTTCTTGCCCTGTTTATTCCTCCTCCTTTAATCTCTATCCTCAATCCATTCTATTCATTTTCCTTAATAATCACAGTTTGGGTACCACTTATTTGGAATTTAAGGATAGGTGGTTGATAAATTTTAGCTGGTGATAGTGACTTAATGCAGATCTAAAATTAATAGAGAAACTCACAGGTGACTGGATTTCAAGTTAGAAGTTCAACTGCTGGGAATGCTTTTTGAAGGGCATTTCCATTTTTTATTGGACTTATATTAAAAGAAAGTGAAACGAAAATATGGAACCTTGGAACTTCAAACCTTTTGAGTTTTCCTTCTTTCCAGTGCTTAGCTGATACAATCAACATTGAGTTGTTTTCTTTGTCCCTTTCTGAGATAGAATCTAATTCTTGCACTTAACGAATTTGAGAATCTTTAACAATATGAACATGATTAGCTCTAGAATCTATATGTTTAGGGGCTACATGCACCTTGTCAAATTGCTCTTTTCCATTCTCAGTTTCCGGAAAGGTCATTGGAATTCCCATAAGTGTGGCGCTGCTGTTCTAGATTGACATTGTCGACCCTGAAGGAAATGATGTTGACGTTCACAGAGACCTGCAGAGTGACCTCTCCTCCAAATGCCTCAAAATAAATGATGGCATGCCTGAGACTACATTTAGTGCCATTTGGCTACCAGGTTCTTCTAAAACCTATATCTTGTGGTAAGTAAAGTCAATATTTAAAGTCTCTTTTTAATTACCTACTAATAGCTTGTTCTAAATTAATGCTGATTGACTAAATGCATGACTGAATGATTGATTGGGTCATCATTGAATAGTGTGGAAATTTTAATTTGTTTTTATAGATGAATGCTCAATTTGTGGGTCTGTATTTTATAACTTAAATTAATAAAGATATTAACACTATTCTTCAGTCTTACTATCAAATACTCTTGTGGTAGGTATAGAATGAACTAAGGCACTATTTCAGTTTTGTTCTTCTGCCATATCCCTACGAAATAGGAAACCTACCCAAACCTACCCATACAGTTAATAAGTAGTAGAGCTGGAATGTAAACCCAGGTGTGTGTGCCTCTGACCACTGCCATCCATACTGGCCACTGAAGTCCATTTGTGTAAAATAATCATTATTTTGCACAAATTTTAAGCACTGCATTCTTTGTTGTGATTTTGGACATTTTGCAACCACCTTTGTCAGCCACACTAGAGACAAGGTTTGATCAGTCTACCAAAGTAGGTGTTTCCTGGTCAGCCTTATCCCACAATATCCCAGCTTTTAACCTTGGATACCTTCTCTAGAGGAAAAGGGGGAAGCACACAACAACATTTAAGTGTTCTCTTCCAAAAGGTGGGAATGACAAAGTCTGGGAGTTGAAGTGAAATATTCTCCCCAGGAGAATAAAATACAGCAGTGTTTGTCAAACTCAATCCAATTCTGGCTGTGAAATAGTAAGGAGAAACCAACATCTAAAAAAATAATATAGACTTAAGTAGAAAATATCAGGTTGCCTCACATTTAATAAAAGTACTGTTTTGCTAAACTTTGGCTTAATTGCATATGTATGTGTGTATATACACATGCATCCATGTGTAATATGTATGTGTGTGTACTAGCTTGTGGTATAAAGTGTACTTTTAATGATAGGTTGTGATTTAAACATTTTGAGGAATACTGTAGCATAGGATAATGATTATGAGTGATGGATCAGACTGCCAACGTTTGAATGTCAGCTCTGACCCTTACTAGGTGCATGGCCTAGGTAGGTATATTTTAACTTTTCAAGTTTCAGTTTTCTCTCCTAGGAAAAAAAATAACTCATAATGTGTGTAAAGTGTGCAACAGAGTACCTGATGCTTAGAAAGGACTCACTAAATTAACGTCAACTATTGCATTTTAGTGAAGCAGTTTGGGCAAAAAGTTGATGGCAAGCAAGAGCAATGCTTTGCATTATGGCCTCAGAATCATTTTAATTCCAGATGCATACATTTATCTGCTTGCTGGCCATCCTCACATACATGTCTCAGAGGCATGTCAAACACCACATGCCCCAAACCAAACTCATCTTAAGCGCTCCTGCATTCCCTACTCAACGATGGTACCACCAGCTACCCAGTAACCCAATGAAAACTGGAGAGTCACCCTGGATTCCTCACCACTCAACCTATATATGCAGTCAAGTCATTAATAAGTTCAGTGATTTTCTCTCTCCTGCATAGTCCTAATTTTCTCCTTTGTTATCCATCCTCCTCATAATCCCTGTTCTTTCCAATACTGAAATCACACCTTGTCTGTTATTAAACTAAAATCCTGCAACTCCTGAATTCTAGTCTTCACTCCCACTGTTCTGCCCCTGGAATACACATTTTAGAACTTCTGCCAGACTGCCATTTTCCAAAAACCAAATCTGATCATTTTCTTGCTGACTCAAAACATCTTTAGCAAAGCCTGCAAGGCTCTTCACAAGCTGTGCATCATTTTTGGCTTTGCCACCAGCCACTCTTCCACAGGTGGCCTTTAATATAGCAAACTATACCGTTCCCAGAAGCAGCAGGCATTTTCATAGCTCTTTGTGTGCATGTGGTAGTTCCTCTGTTGGGAATGGCCTTCTGTGCCCATCTGCTAATCAGTATAGTGGATTAGAGGATGAAGAAGACATTGATTCAAACTTACATTTAAAATTAAAAATTCAGTGTGCATCAGGAGCACCTTAGTTGGTGGGTTAAAATCCAAGTCCTTGGCCCCTACCTGTAAATGTTGATTCCAGGGCTTTTTGCCTGCACCCCTGGTGATTATGAGAAACTGCACCAGAAGAAAGATAAAAGTTCTGTACAAATGGCAATCCTTAACACACATGCAGGAGTAGAGGTGACAACCTTGTCCTTGGGAAATATCTCAATAGAAATTCAATTTGGAGCATTTCCTAAGGGGAGTGGATAAGTGCTGACTTATTAGTAAAGATAGGTCTTTTTAAATGAGTAGCAATGACAAGAAGGAAAAATACTGCTACTTAATGTAATTATCTATTAATGTTATTGCCTTAAAATATAAAAACTGCATAGTGCTAAAGTACAATGATGGCACTGATCCGACACTGTTGTAGCGAGATCTCTTTACCCTAGTTGAAAACCCCACAGGAGTCCTGTCACTGGCTAACTTTATAACAAAGAGAAAATCAGTTGCCTCACCTACAGACAACACAGAGGCCCAGTTGTTTCCACCGAGTCTGAAACAAAAGGCTTTCTCTGTATTTTCCACAGTAAGAAAAAAAAAAAAAAAGACGACGAACAGAAGCTTCAAGTTAAGTATCTGGGCATTAGTGGCAGTTAAAACTTGGTGAGAAACCAAGATCAGAGGCTGGCTTTTTATTGGGAACAAATTTCTAAAGCATTTTTATGGCTGAAAGTTAATGCAAACCAGATAACCCAAGGCTTACAGATAAGGATCTTAGAAAGGGTTATCTGTCTCTTTTGAGCTGTCCACCATCAGACCCACCCTGCTTACTCAGCCTAATCATTCATTCATTCATTCATTCATTCATTCCCTCTTTCATTTAATGAGCACAGACTGTGTGATATACATAGTGCTAGGTACAGGTGGAAGGAAAGATGATGAAGCTTAAATTTCACATTCCATTAGGGGGAGTTGACACAGAAGATATTAGGTTGATGCAAAAGTAATTGTGGGTTTTGCCATTAAAAGTAATGCAAAAACTGCAATTACTTTTGCACCAACCTAATACAATCTGCAGTGATTTGTCATTCAAACAAAAATGGTCATCAAACAAAATGATGCTATTCATTCCTCAAAAATTTGTAGAGCACCTACTTTGTATAATGAAGTATGTCTGGCAGTGGTTGTTAGCTGGGAAAAACAAAGGTTCATTTTCTAATAGTAAAGACAGCTATTAAATAAATAATCACCCAATTAATTAATTCATTCAAAGAAATACTACAAAGCAGGTGCAGAGGATGCTATTAAAGGACATAAGGAACTCCAGGAGTCCTGATGTCATTTTTTTGTGTTGGGAATGGTATGTGATTAGAAGAGACTTCTCTGAGGAAGCAATATCCAAAATGAGATACGACAGATAAATAAAGAGTTAATTGTCTTCAACAATGGTATTGAGAAAACTGTATATCCACATGTAAAATAATGAAATTAACCCTTATCTTATATTCAAAAATGGATTATAGACTTAAAATGTAAGACCTGAAACTACAAAACTCCTAGAAGTAAACATAGGGGAAAACTTTATGACATTGGACTTGGCAATGATTTTATAGATACAATATCAAAAGCACCGGCAAGAACAGTAAAAATAAAGAAGTGGGACCGTATCAAACTAAAATGCCTCTGCACAGCAAAGAAAACAATTCACAGCATGAAAATGCAACCTTACAGAATGGGAAAAAGTATTTGGAAATCATATATTTGATAAGGGGTTAATTTCCAAAATATATAAGGAACTCTTACAACTCAATGGCAACCCCCCCACCCAATAACCTGATTATAAAATGGGCTAAGGACCTGAATAGACATGTTCCCAGAGAAGACGCAAATATCCAACAGGTATATGAAAAGATGCTCAACATCACTAATCATTAGGGAAATGCAAATTAAAACCACAACGTGATATTACCTCACCTCTGTTAGAGCGGATATTATCAAACAAAAGGTAACAAGTGTTGGTGAGGCTATGGAAAAAATGAAACCCTTGTACACTGTTGATAGGAGTGTAAAATGGTAGTAACCACCATGGAAAACAGTATGGAGGTTCCTTGAAAAATTAAAAATGGAACTACCATATGATCCAGCAATGCCACTTCTGAGTATTTAACCAGAATAATTAAAATCAAGATCTCAAAGAGATATTAGCACTATTCACAACAGCCAAGATGTGGAAAGGATCTAAATGTCCCTTGACAGATAAATGGAGGAAAAAAGGGCTTATACATAAAATGGAATATTATTCAGCCTTAAAAATATGGAATGCCTGCAATATACAACAATATGGATGAATCTTGAGGACATTATGCTAAACGCAATGATCCAGTCACAGAAGGACAAATACTGTATGATTCCACTTATATGAGATATCTAAAATAATCCTACTCATAGAAGCAAATAATAAAATGGTGGTTTCCAGGGATTAGGGGTAGGTGGAAATGGGAAGTTTCTAATCAATGGGTATGCAATTTCAGTTATGAAAAATGAAGTTCTAGAGATCTGCTATATAACATTGTGTCTACAGATAACAATACTATATTATACACTTAAAAATCTGTTAAGAGGGTAGAGCTCATGGCAAATGTTCTCACCACAGTGAAAAAAAAAACTGTGATAAAGACTAATAAAATATCTTCAAACAAAACAACAAAAAAGTTAATTAGGTCAAGTGGTGGTGCTCGAGGTGGGGGTGGGGTTGAGCAACTTTCTAGGCAAAGAAACACCTCGTTCAATGCTTGGAAAAGGGAAGGTGCACAGACAGGACCAAGACCGTGCAGTGTGTAGGTGACTTTGCTGAGGACTTAGGTTTTCAGCCTCAGGGCAATGAGAAACTACTGAAATTTTTGAACAGAAGAGGCATAATTAAATCTGTGTTCTTTAGAAAAGATCATTTTGGCTGCAGTGAGGAGAATTTTTGGAAGAGTCCAAGAATGTGCTGATAAATTAGGAGTTTCATGCAATGGTCCAGTTAAAA